GCTGCCTGGCGCGCGACCCAAGCCTTCCATGAGGCTCAACTGAGCGTTGGTTTTTAGTCCCCTCCAGCTCGATTGGAGATTCTTCAAGCTTCCGCGGACCCTTCTGCATCCTTGCCGCGGGCCAAGAAGTTTCTTCGGCGGACTTCCGCGGCATATGTTTATCATCCTTTGCTTCCACGAACCTGGCGGTTCCAACCTCAAAATCGGTTTTGCCCGATACGGCCTTGCTGCTTCGAGACGACAATGGATTGCTGATTTGACGCTTGCGTTTGCTTGACTGAGTGTGAATTTGGTCGTGAAAGTACGGAAGGAAAGCAATGTTCCGCCTGTGTTGGCAAGAATAATGTCCCTCTCCCTACTAAATCAGCTTGCGGGCAAAAACCCGCTGCCCATCTGCGATCTGCACAAACAGCTTCCCTGGGAGTATCCTCGAGGATTTTAGTCTATCAAGCAGATCCTGGCAACGATCACACACAAATAGAGATGCAGAGCCCCGTTTGTTGCGGTCACACCTTCAAGAGGCGTGTGTCTTTCGACGTGCTGACAGCAGCTGAGGAGAGAAAGCCCGTGCTTTAAGGTTCGGCTCTGAGGGTGTCTCGCTGACTCGGGTTTGCGGTTTACCGTCTTTTAACCACAAGCTCCGACTTGAAGTCCTTTATTGTGCCAGTCGCAAACGAACGACTTTGGTAACTGCTACACCCTTGCAGCTTTTGGCAGGTGACCGGCGCCGCCAATCATCCAAAGCTTGAAGTTTCTTCACATCTGGAGCTTCCCGAACTTTGCGCTGCTCACTTGGCCGGCTTACACAGGCAAGCAAGCCCAATGCGATCGCCTCCCGGAAGGCACCGCACACATCTCCAGTAAGGATGCAGCGATGTCCACTGCCAACGGCACCACTGCTGATTCAAAATATTTGTGAAAAACATGTGGGTTTGCAAAAAAGGCAACTGCGTTCGTGGCTTCGCTCGATCGAGGTCAATAGTCTTCTACAACGCCTGGCCGGCCCTGCTTGACTCTCCCGAAAAGCGCCGCAGAGAAGTTCCAAGGACCAGTCAGAGAAAACACACCGGAGCCGACACGTCGGCAATCATTCAAGCACGCGACATCTGCGCGCGCCACCCCTTTTCACGTTGCATCTGCAAGCAGCCGTCCCTGAGTTGGGACGATAGCATGTCGCTGGCCGCTCACAACATGGGAATGAACATGCTGCTAACCGCCAAAGCATCCATCTGGTTGAACACGAATGGCATCCTCCTGAGGTTCATTGAGTCCTGACAGAGTCCCGTGGGTGGGTCGATTGAACTTTTCGAGTCCGCGCAGTGCGACCACGAGTTTAGGATGTCGAGGTCCAAACAAATCTTCATGATAATCCACACATGCCCCATCGCTTGCTACCAGCCTTAAGCCTCAATTGAGTTTGCCTTTTACTACCACTAACTGCGGAACCCACTGATACTCTTTTTCAGCATCATGCTGACCTGGAACCTCCACTTCAGCCTATTCACTTCCGAACAGCAGTTGCTTGGATCTTCGGCTCGAATGATTCTCCGCCCAGTTCTTTAGCCACCTCTGCAAATCGTCAGCTCACTACAGGCCAGAGGGGGCCTAAGCAATGCCAAAGCATGAGCCTTGGACAAGTCCTCATCCTCGCAGATCGGTCGTTCATCTTTGCGTGGCCACTCTTGGGACTGCCTCACAGCCTCACAGCCTCAATATGTTTGAGAATTTGTTTTCTGATGACAGGCACGCCGCTGCCCAAACAGCCCAGGAAATTGAGACATGCCCGGGCACGTCGGCCAAACACGGCTATGGCAACGCCTCGCGATTTCTGATAGTTGCCCACCGCAACTGTTCCTTTGGAATTTGGACTATGCCCCTGATGCAATATGAGGAGCTGAACTCTCCGGCCAGGTGTGCAGCACTGGGCAGTCCTGCTGCCACATGCTCGATGCTAAGTACATGCGCGCTACTGTGGCTTCAGCAATGGCTCAAGCTGTGTCTCATTTCGCGTGACTCCAGCGAAATTCGGCGAGCGCGGCGTTCCATCAGTCAGTTCTGCTTGGTCTAGGTGCTTGCAGCAGCCGACGGATCACCATGCGCCAGATGGGATGCTTGCAATAAAGCATCGCGCGTGTCTTGGCTCTGGCCAGAAGTCTGCATGGCAACAGGCCCTCTCCGTGCGCAGAGCGGGCGCCAGGAGCCGCGCTGTGCCCTCGGCGCAGGCAAGCCCTGGGGCGAACCTGACTGTAGCCAGGCTTGGTCTAGCCCGTGGACACAAAAGCTGCAGCTTCTGGAAGTAACTGGCATGCGCCAAGCCGCGTGCTCTGCGTGGCACTGCGTGCGCTCATCGCTAAAGCCTGGAGCCTGGGAGCCACATGCAACTGGCACTGCTGAGCCATGCCGCGTGCGGTCACGCGCGGCTCAACTACTACGCAGCCCATCACCCAGCTGCCATGTCTGTCGCAGCAATCCAGGCCAAAGGTTGCGGCCTCGCCACAGTGCCAGGCACGCCAGGCATCAATGCAGAGATGCATGGCACAGGCCAGTATCCAAGTCGCAAACACCACACTGCTCTGGGCCCCTAAACCCTGTCCTTCTCAAAGGAGGCTTGCCTGGCGATCGCTGCCACTGCCCCAGGTTGCTTGCCAACTTGAGGCAATTCAAATCTAAACCGAGCCGTGTTGTAATGATGTCTTAGGGTTTCCTGGGAGGCGCCACAGCTCAAAAGACCTGGCCAACCTGGCGCTGTCCACCTGCACATCCAGTCCAACAATCTCAAGCCGTGAAGGGATAAAACCATATTCGACACGGTCAGGCGGGAATCGCACACGGCGAGGTCTCTCAAGCGATGTGGCCAAGGTTCTGTGAACGATTGCTTTGAATCGCATGCCGCCTTCATTTGCCTTTGTACAAACCAAAGGTCAACGCGTCTACACAAGGCAGCTGTTGAACGGATGCTTCTGCCCGGAAGTCAAGGCCCAAGGCCAGGCAAGGGGAAGACTGATTGCAGAGCTCAAAGGAACATGTAAACGGCTGCGCCTTTGATTTATGACCAGTTTAGGGCTGATGCGCTGGCAGTCTAGTGCTACAGCTCTACAGCGTTCTTGTCCATGTTGCTTGGTTGGAAGCGTGACAGCTGGCCTTATTGAAAGGTGAGCGGCAAGGTGCTGCAGAGCGAATCGGCCGGCTTGTCAGCCAGGCTGGCTGATGACTCTGCCAACCGCGTGGACACGGTCAGGTGGGAATGAAGTCGCACACGGCGAGGTCTTTCAAGCGGTGCGGCCCAGGTTGTGAGCGATTGCGCTGAAACGCACGCCGCTGCCCTTTGCTTTTGTACAAACACGAGGTCAAAGCGTTTACACAAGGCAGCTGTTGAACAAATGCTTCTGCCCGGAAGTCAAGGCCCAAGGCCAGGCAAGGGGAAGACTGATTGCAGAGCTCAAAGGAACATGTAAACGGCTGCGCCTTTGATTTATGACCAGTGTAGGGTTGATGTGCTGGCAGTCAAGCGCTACAGCTCTACAGCGTTTTTGCCTGACTGAAATGACTCCATGAGCGGCAGGGTGCTGCAGAGCGAGTCAGACGGCAACCGCCATGAGCCCTGGCCTGAACTGAGTTCAGCCAGAAACATCAGGCAACTTTAAAGGGGTAAAACTATATTCTGTCCACGACGCGGTCAGGTGCGAATGAAGTCGCACGCGGCGAGGTCTTTCAAGCGATGTGGCCAAACACGAGGTCAAAGCTTCTACACAAAGCAGCTGTTGAATGGATGCTTCTGCCCGGAAGTCAAGGCCCAAGGCCTGCAAGGGGAAGACTGGTTGCAGACGTCAGACCAGTGTAGAATGCTACAGCTCTGCGTGTAGCTTGCTTGAGAACATGACAGCTGGCCTTGTTGGAATGGCTCCATGAGCGGCAGGGTGCTACAGAGCCAGTCAACCGGCTTGCCAAGCTGGCTAATTACTCTGCCAACCGCCATGAGCCCTGGCCTGAATGGCCTTCAAAAGAGACGCTAAACTGAGTTCAGCAACGGCCAGAAGCTCAGCCAAAACCATATTCTGTCACTGTCACCGACACGGTCAGGTGGAAATGAAGTCGCACACGGCGAGGTCGTTCAAGCGATGCGGCCAAGGTTCTGTGAACAATTGTACTGAACGCCTTCCGTACAGCATCGGGTTTTCCCGCTGTTTGCGTTTGCAAGTACTCTGGGAGGCGAGCCAAGAAAGACGCAACTGACGCCTGATGTAGATTCTGGCTGCTCTCTGGGCGCTCGGCGTAGATTCATTTTGATTCAATACAATTTCGACAAACTACGTACTGGCAACGCTGAGCCTGGAATGAGCCCGCCATAGCGCAGGGAACTTTTGACAACGCTTGCCGCCAGGGTGCCCCATCACCCTCTCCTCCGATCCAGAAACTGCAGCCTGAGGGTCACATCAATGCCGGGCGACAACAAGAAGCAAACCGCAGGCTGCAGCTGCGCATTCCCAACGCTTTTGAAGAATTTGCAGATCGGCTGAGGTGATCACGTCTGGGACAGGCATGGCCCAAAGACAAATTTAGGCAGATCGCACCTGTGAGAGTACTACCTCTTCATGGGCCCAAACAATAGCCCGAGGGCTTCCTTCTTGCTTGCAAACTTGCTGCAATCAGGCCTGCTCTAGAATCGGTTAAAATATGGCGCAGCTGCTGCGTCTGTGAAAGCCTGAAGCCAAATCCAGACCCACACGTGCTTCTTGTGTTGCTCGTGCGAAGGCCCGACTGTTTATGTCTGCAGGGGGGGGGCGGGGGTGAAGTGGACAAACTTTGAACAGTTGAAACCTTGCCATCCAGCAAGTCAAATGCCAACTGGCGGCATCTGCGCTGCTCGAGTGAGTACAAAACCCTGTCACAAAGCCCCATACTATCGCTGGCGCTCTCGAAGATGCTCCCAATCACAGCTGCTTGGGATGACGTGGCGAGTGTCTTAGCACTTCATCGGATGCTGGCCCTTCTGCAGTGTGCACGTGACACCCCAGACGCTCCGCTCGACACCATTCTAAGTTGCTGTTGGTGGTTCATCTTGGAGGCTCTACCTTCAATCGACTAGAGTGAATAGACTGAAGCAGCCTTCGTCAGCGTGGCCATGGCTGCCACTCTCGGGCGCTGCGCCACTCTCGAGCGCAGCTTGGCGACTTAATGCCAAGCCGCGCGACTCTGCGCCATCTCTTACAAGTCTTGGTAAAGCCACGCTGCGCAATTGCTCAGCCATTCCACGAGCCAGGTCGTGCGAGCAACTGCGTAGTGGCTACCGCTTTATAGCCAGAACAGCTCGGCTGGAAGCTGGCCCTGTCAGACTCTGGAACCACACATGCTCCAATGTGGTTCGCTTCAAACGAGCCTGAGAAAGATAGGCAATCCAGACTGCTTTACCATGTCTCCTACCAACCAATGGTCACAACAACATGTTGCAAAGAAAGGTTCCTTCTATCGCTTCCCAGTCTTCCGCTCTGCATCTTTAAGGTTCGGAGGTGACCGGTGCAGCAAACATACGGTGGTGCTAGGGACAGATGAAGTGGTGCCTCTGGCATGATCATTTGTTGCCGCCATTGAAACGCTGCAATCGGAGAACATCGGCTATGCACATTTGAGCAGTGTTTTAAACCTAGTGGCGGCAAGAGAAACATCAAACCGCTTCCGCAAAGGCTTCCGCGGAGCTTTCGCGGCGTGAAAGGTTCCTTTCGCGAGAGGTATTGAAGAGGAATCGCTTTTGCTTCTGCGCGTGCAGGAAAACTACCATTTCTTATCTTCGTAGATTCGTAGCCCTTCCGCGAAGCTTTCGCGAGAAACTAATGATAAACCCCTTCCACGAACCTTTCGTCCTCCCGAGTACAACTTTCAAATGCAGGGTTTTAGAACGTCCCTCATTTGGCATGCTCAGAGTTTCTGGCGCGTGGCAAGTTTTGCATCAGCCCCTTTGCTCTTGAAACTCACACTGGGTAGAACTTTCAGTAACAACACATTCGAACAAGAATTAAGCGGAGAATGATTTGCAGCAGGCGCCCTGCTCATTCTGCAAAATCCAACAAGCGCTGAGATTTTTCTGTGCAAATAACTGTAATCAAACCGGAAATAAGGGAAGCCCCAAGAAAGGACCGTCCTCCCACTGCGGTTGCTCAGCGTCCTGGGCTGGAGTTTTCCGGGCTTCAAACCTGCGGAACTCACTGCGTGCGCTACCCCGGTCGCATTGCGCCCTAGATGGCGAACTGCTCCCCAAGCCTATGCGGGAAAATTAAAGGGGCGCCATCTCTGGACGCCCAACCAAACCAAGTCCGGAGGAGAGCCACTTACAACGTGCCGCGGCTCCAGAACGAACTTCCCTGCACACTACGCAGGCAAAAGTCCTGCTTTGCAAAAGTGCTTCGCAGAACTACTTCGCAAAATCCCTCGCTGAAGCAGAACCGTTCGCAGAACCTGGCTGCCGGGAACACAGTCAGCTGTCAGGTTTCTTCTGCTCCCGATCCAAGAGCTGAAGCTGCCCCGATAAAAAGTTTGAACGGAAGCCCGCAAAGAAGCGGTGAGGGAAAATGCGTCCCCGCTCCTTGCAATGCGTTTGCAAGGAACCAGGAACCAGGACGAACCCAAGCTTGCGAAAGTTTTTCTCAAGCAGGCGAACTCCATGCGTGAGCGTGAGCGAGTCAACAGTGTCAGCTCCCGAGTCGCCCGCCGGCCGGTCGCCAGTAATCCAGTGAAAAACATGCAAAACAGGTTCAATGACTGATGTGCTGGCACCCTCCTTGACAAACAGCCGAAAATCCTGCCACTCTTGCCGTAACATCACCCGCTTTGCCGCACCGCCTTCTCGTTACAAGCTGCTGCGCCGCAAGCACATTTTGCCCAACATGGGGCGGCTGGCTTGTATTGGTTCAACCGACGCTGAACTGCGAAGCACAGCGCAGGTTTCACAAGCACAGCTTCTCCGGCAGCACAGCTTGTGGTTCAAGACTGCGCCAGCGGCCTCCATCCGCCATGCTCACGGTTGGTCCGATGTGAGATCTTTGTGAGATGAACGTCCCATGCTTTCGCGTGGCGCAATTGCGTGTCTGAATGGCATGTTGCCAGGGAGCTGAATCCCTCGGCTGCTGTATGTTCCTTTCCAACACACACTTGTCTGAGCTGACTTGAGTTGAGGGGCGACCGGCAGAGAAGCAAACTTTCCTGCAGCCCGAGCAGTCCCTCCACTGTCGGGTCCACAGCGCTGCTCCGTAAACGTCATCGCAGGTCTCGTGAAGAAGAACCAATCAACAAAAGGTAAACCAAGGACCAGGCCAGCACGCCCAGCGAGTTTCCCTCGACCTGGTCTGGCACATAGCCTGTAGAGAACTGGCTTGGCGGCCGCACGCTGCGCGCCCAGCCACGCAGGTTGCCCGAGCGGAGCAGCGAGCAACGTTTCTCGCGACTCTCGGCAGCGCGCAGGCCACCAACTCGGGCGCGCGCTACCCGCGCAGCTGCCAACCGCTCCTCCAGTTGCAAGCAGTCCAACAAGTTCTGCAGAGATCTGTAAAGTAAGTAAAATACCGCCAGCGGGCGGCTCTGCCTTGCTTGGTCGCAAGGAGCTGAACGCAGTATGATCCTTGATTCCAAGGCAGCGCGCCCGCCCAACTCTCGAGGCGTAGAAGCCGTCCAAGTCATAATTGAGCCGGGAGCTGCGCTCCGCGATGCAGGGCCGCTGACCATGAAAACGCAAACATTTCCGGATGAGCTTGGACTTCGAAGTCCGAACTTGGGACCTTGAAGTCTGGCTTTTGGACCTCTGAGTGCAGGCTTTTATTTCCGGATTGTCAGGATTGTCGGAGGGCTTGGGGGGACTTAGAGTGACAGCTCAGCGGCTGGCTGAGGCTGGGTTGTGGCCGCAAAGCCTCAAAGTCTGACACTCAAACCTCGAAGTCTGGCCTTTCGACCTAACTTGGCCTCAAGGTCTCACTTTGATGCAAGGATATACAACGCAACTTGCCAACTTAGAGCAAGCAATTTGACACTCAACACGCCAAAGGCCAAGGTGGCACAGCACAAGGGACGGGAGTCCACCCGCTACTGCTGCGTCCGCATGGTTTTGGAGGTGCCCAAGCTGCTCAAGCTTTGTCCACCGAACTTGGATGGGATGTCCATGCGGCGCCTTCACCCAGTCGGAGGCCAAACACCATGGCCTGAGAGACGACGACGCGCGTGTCGTGTTTGTATGCGTTTTAGGTTCCGAGAATTGGTTTTAACATCGGCTTAAAGGAGTTGAAGGCTAGAAGATCGGCATGAACCCTTGAACATGACATGGACGCAACATCATCACATTCAAGAAGGTGAACCAGGATGAGTCACCCCCTCAATTGGAAGGACATTTGCACATATTTGCACATGTTCGCACCCCAAGCACCAAGGGTTTCAAGTCAAATATTACACAATATGGGCCCAATCTCAGGAAATTGTCGCTTCAACACAGCCCATCTTATCTCCTCTGCCCAACGTGACATTTGAAATGTGTAGGGAAAACGATTGTCGTGAAGATGAGCATGCTCCTCCGGACAGCGCTAATGAAAATCGCCGCTACGCGTCCCCAGCATCACCAGCGGAGCTTGAGTGACGACAGCGATGATGATGATGATGATGATGATGATGATGATGATGATGATGATGATGATGATGATGATGATGATGATGACGATGTTGATTATCAACAGCAACATCGCCAGAGTCCCCAGCACATCACCGGGATCGCAGGACATGCTGAGGATGACTAAGATTTTTGAACACAGTGACGCCGACTATGATGATGCGGCAACGTTTGTTGCCAGCCCTCCCACGCGCCTCCCAAGGGGGAGAAGGGGGAGGGAGGGAGGGAAAGGGGGAGAAGACACACGCTCTATTGCCAATCTCTACGGCCCCGCTTTCGGGTAAATGATTTTTCACCATGGCGCGAGAGCAAGGCATCTCTTTTCACCTTCAGCATCGAACTACAGTCTCGAAGCTCTACACCGTAGCCATATAGTATGCGCGCCGTAGCCAGTGAGAAAAACATTGAGATCACTCGGACATGTTGGATTTGTTGCCGTATTTACATGATTGTACAAACTGATTGCAACTGTGCGAATTCGGAAACACCAACCAAGTTGGCACCTACTGTGTCAACATGTGCGTCTTATTGCGAAGATGCATTGGCGTGACAAATTGTACGCGATGTCCTTGTGAAGCTAGCGGAACTAGCGACTCACGCACTTCAGAAAGGATAGTCTTGTAGGCGATGAGGTTGTTGTCGCAATTGGAATAGTGTTGTTGACGATGGAGTCAACAGAACTGGCGTTGCGAGAATGCCGATTGGTTGGTCACTTCGTGCCATCGGTTGGGCGGTTGCTGATTGCTTTAGGAAGCCACGCTTGCCCCGCTGCTTGTTGTGATAGATGCTGCTGTAGCTTCCGTCAGTGGACCTGTCATTGTTCCATGACTTGTCATAAACTCTCCACCCCACTCTTCTTCTGTTCGGACTTGCTTCTGATTCGCATTTCGTTGTTGGCGCGCTTAAAGCGCCCTGCAGATGATACCTGATAGTTGGCACTCGTACTCCTGTAGCCGAAGACATAGGTCATCAGACACTCAGGAAGGCCCTGTCGTAGTGTGATTGAAGAGAACATGCTCGGACGCTTGTTGACGACCACATGGTCAAACTTGTTCCACGTCTCCTTCAAGGTCTGGATGGCTCTTGTGAAAAGTCCGCGACGCGGTCGATAGAGCTGACGCTTGTTGTAGATGTTATCGGACCGTCTTGTCTCCATGAATATAAACGTCGCAGTGATATTGGAGGACTGGTGGTAGGATGTAATTCTTCAGCTCACTCTTCTGAGAAGAATGGACACTGTTGCACGTCGGCCATCTGAGCCCTGGTGACTCATGATCCAGTTTGGGCCCTTTGCCATGTCAAGGTGTGACCGATGCCTCTTGTTGGGCTGATGCTCAATGATCAATGACAGTCGCACGCACGCACGAATCTGCTTGTTGTTGGTGTGGCTCGTGATCCGCTTGATGCGGATCGGAAGTCTGATCGGGTATCCTGATTTGGGCTGCTGCTGAGTCACTTTCTTCGGTCGAGCGTCTTCTCTTTCTCGTCTCCGTTGGCTTGTGGACGAAGAACTCATCGACAACTACTCAATTCTGGCTGCATGTGTCTTGTCGAGGCGCATCTTCATGAGCAGCACCTGTTTCTCCAAGTCCCGTGATCTTCATACCAAAGTACTGACAAGGTGTGACGACGATGGTCGCATTTCTGCCATCCGGGGCAGACTGAAGCCGCTGAAGCTCGTCGATCCATGACGACAAAACCAGCGATGTGTGCCATGTGCACAAGGCTGTCGCCCTTTCTCATGGAGCTCCTCACCGTTCAGAACGCCAAAAACACTTTGTCGTGACTTGGGCAAAGACGAATGAATCTGGCTTAAGAGCCGCGCTGGATCGTTCTGGTGGCATACCGCTGATCCGTCTGATTGTTGGCGCCATCTGCCCATCTCTTTGCCTGTCGTTGTATTCTCCGTCAAGCTTCGGAAAAACGAACACTAACGCGACATGTGTCTTGTCGTGTCTGGGAAAGAGCGTCGTGAGGAGCAAGTTCGGCTTGCCTGATCCACGCTGTTCCCACGCAACTCGGGCTTGACTCCGTTGCAATGACATCGCAGAGATGCGGAATACTCTCTGCCCAGTCGTTCAATTTGCCAGAGGGTTAAGTGGGGTTTCAAGTTTCTCGCATAAGACTCGGGCATCGCGACCTGATTTCTCAATCTCGAGCTGAAGACTGCGACGGAAAGACGGAAAGACATGGAGTAAAGTTGCTGAGTGTAATTCTTGCGCGAGTTCCTGTTGAGATGCGTAGCTTTGATTGTTGGCGCCTAGTTCAATCTTCGGAGGTGGTACGGCGAATGAAGAGGAAGGGATCTTCCGTGCGCTCAGTTCTTTACCATGCGTGCAGTTCAAGAAAACTGTGTCTGCGAGCGCAGCGACTTGGCCTTGTGTGCAATCTTGCCTTGACAACCTGCGTCTCATCTCTATGCTGAGCAAGGCGCTTCCGAAGTTCGTTTGCGCCAGCAAGCAAGACGCGAGCCTTCCAGACGACCAGGGTAAGATGGAGATGGTCAGGAAGGAGTTGACTGGGAGGCAAATCAACAAGCACAGTGGTCACGGACTCACGCCCGTGCGGCCGAGATGCGCGAACATGGCCCAACTCCTGCAAAGGCAGTGAGGGTTGGACCGCAATTCAAAAGACTGCCGCCAGAACGGCTTTGAACAACTCGTCTTTGGCAGAGTGCTTCGTCAAGGGTTCAGAGATGCCATTCTGCTCTCCTCCTACAACATTTAGAATAAAGGGGGTGGTTCCTTCTGCTCGTGTTGATGTGTTGTTGAGGCTGTTGTTGCAAGGTTGTTTGCATCGGCTCTGACGCGGGCATCTGCAACTTCACCGTTGTTGTCCTAAAACGCTCCTGCACGCGGTGTGCGTCTGCGGCACAGTAGGGTGTCATCCTTCAAGTTCTTGTCTAAGGCGATCTCCTGAAGTTCGTCAATGGCAACATTCTGATGCACGTTGACGTACCAACCGCGGATCTTGCCCTGCTTCCATTGAACGCGTTGTCCCAGGAAAAGGCAATCGTTCTTGTCTTCGGAAAATGAAGTCTTTTAGACGTCGGCCAACACTTTACTGCTTGAACACATCCTCGCCAACCATACGGAGATCGTCAACAAGAGCTCCATTGCTTACAGGGCCCATGAGCTGACCAACTGCTCCTGCAAGACCAAAACGTTTGATGATTTTTTTCACTGGTCAATGATGATTTTTGGAAGGCTTACTGTAGAAAATAATGTGTGCACCTGGTCGGCTTAGAACGCCGAGTCTAGGACGTTCCACCATCTGCACAGCGCGTCATTCAGCCGGTAGGCAGGCTTCTTCATACGAGCAACAAATCTGCGATGGACATCGGTTTTCAGGAGGTGATCTGCTGTTTGCGAGCGCGCTTCGCCACCCATGGGCCAACCGGACTGCGCACTGAAGAGCCTCAACAGTCAACATGGGCCCAAGATCAGCAGGCAGAAGCTGAAGTCTTCAGCAGCAAACCAGCCCTGACTGGGGGATCAGAGAAACAGTTCCCAAGGCTAACCGCAGCAGCGCTTCGAATTATGTGAGCGTGCCTGAGTCGGGATTGCATACTTGAGCAACCCGAGGTTCGCATCTATTCGACAATCGCCAAAAACGCAAGCTCAAGGCAAAACAGAATATAGATCGTTGAGGCGCCAACGTCTGGCTCAGACGTTTGCTGTTGCTGGGTGAGGAAACAAGCCCCGTGCCTGTGGACAACACAACGTTGCTGAGTCTTTTGTGGCACATAGGCCCCCGCAAGCCACGCGCCTCCACTCAGAGACAAGACGGGCAGCGCGGGCGCTCCTCTCCTTAGCAGGCACATCTTTGGTGTAAATTTAAATTTGCCGGCTCAAAGGCACACTGCTTGAGAGCAGAATACGTCTCTATTCCCAGCCTCTAAGCCTCTCAGCATACAAACTTGCACAGCCTAATTCGTCGATGATGTGTCATGACGGCAATCACAGCGAAACAGTCAGGGCTTCGTACTGAGCTTTGGCCAATCATCGCACAAGGTCTGGGGTCGGCCTGACAACCACGCTCTTGCTTGCGGACATGACGAGACGACAGACTT